CCCCCCCCCGACGTGTGGCCTCGTCTTCATGTGTTGCCCTGACCTCCCTCCATCTTTGCCTTTCGCCCGCCTGTCCCTCTTCAACTTGGACCCGCTGCCAGTCATCCTCGGGGACACATCCGACCCATCGGCCATCCTGCCCTTCGGCTTGGATGCCGATGTGCTGATTCACGAATCGACCGGCCTGGCGAGCTCCGAGCGACTGCTCCTGTCTCGCGGGCACTCTTCGGCTGCCATGGCTGGGGCGTTCGCGCAAAAGCTGCGTGCTCGGAACTTGCTCCTGAACCACTTCAGCCCACGGGCGCTGCTGGGAGATGTGCGTCTGGGGGGCTGCATTTTGGGATCCAACTCTGTGCTTGGATGGGACATTGGCGATGGCTTCCCTCCCGGTCTCGACTCTTTGCCCCATCTGACCTCTCGTGCACATCATGTCTCCGGTTCCTCCCCCTGGCCCTTTCTCTCTCTCTGTCTCCCGCGGCTCTTATCCGGCGCTCATAGAATGCAAACTCCAAGAAGGATATGTCTCTCTCCCCGAGCCAGCAGTATATCCAAGAAGCGAAGAAGCATGCCCCGTCCGTGCAGGTCTTCTGCTCGATGGACTTCGACCGGTACCTGCTGAACATCCCCGAAGCTGGAGAGTCGGCGGACGACCGCCGCGCGGGCTTTGCCCAGCTCTTCCGCACGATCAACCACTTCCGTGTGAGCCGCGTCCACCGAGTCAAGCCATCCCCGCAGTCGGAGTCCGGCTTGCCGGACATCGCGAAGGACGAACTTTCCCTTGGGCTGAATGTGAGCCTGCGAATGCATCAGTACTGCCTGGAGAACCTGGAGTGTCTGACATACTTCAAGGCGTCCGAGTCGCTTGAGCGTCTGATGCTCGCCAAGCAGCAGCTCCAAGGCCTGCCTCAGGCACAGGAGCCCGGTCCTCTGAAGGAGGTCATCGACGTCCTGGAGGAGGAGCTTTCCAACTTGCGCGATCGAGTGAACCTGACAATGCCCCCGATGGCCGAGAGCCTGGAGGAAGATTCGACCGGGTACCTGGACACGCTGGAGGAGGACATGCCGGAGCCCGCGGTGGCCACCGGCAACAGCGCCTAAGTCGCCGGGGGGCCATTCCCCACCCAGGCCCCTTTTCTGCGACACATGTCGGCTTGATGGCCCCTTGCCTTTCTTCCCTCCCCTCCTCTCTCGACTTCTCCGCGCTCTTCCTGACACCGAGCATGTGCCTGATCAGGACAAATAGAACTCACAGGAACGGGCCATCCCTGGTCTGTTTCTTTGCCAAGTGGGCAAGAGGGGGGGGGGGGGATACTGCATATGAGTACATTTAATTTGCTTTTTAGATTTTTTTTTCGGGAGGGGATTAGGAAAGGCCACAGGGGCCAGCCCAGGGAACAGGCGGAGGCGGAAGAGACGGTCCAACGGCGGTCGAGCCCCGGGGGAGGCTCAGAAGTCCACGGACGAGCGCTCGGTCACCTTGCGCCGGGCGAAGGAGCTCCGAATGAAGGCCGACCCGATGACAGTCCGCCCGGTGACGGGGTCAATGCGCAGCAGATGCGACCCGGGGAGCTGGACATCGGGGAACTGCTTGAAGTCGGCCACCATCTCGGCGGCGGTGGAATGGCGCCCGCCAATGGTGGCCAGCTTGCGGCCCACACCGAAGCCGATGTGCAGCTGCTCGGCCTCGTCCGGGGTGAAGACCCCCCGGTCGTGGCGCAGGTCCATCTCGAAGCGCCGCCGGTGCCGGGCGTACAGGATCGCCTGGCGCACATAGATGCGTGCCGTCAGGAAGAAGACCCCCGCCACGAGGATGCCCACGGCGGCCGAAGCGTGCGGCCGCCGCTTGATCGATTCCCACAGGCTCAGCTGCTCGGTGGGCATGTTGTGGCCCATGCGGATGCCCCCCTCCTCGAAGGGGAAGAGCGCGCGCTGCGACTTGTCACCGGACACCTCGGTCTCCAGGGCAGCCAGGACATTTTGCGCCACCGCCACCGAGGGGGAGTCCCCCTCGAAGGAGGGATCAGCAACAGCCAGGACGTCGGGCTGATTGGACATGGGGATTTCCGCGGGAGGGGCGAGGGGCGGCGGGGGGAGGACCGTGGGCGCACGTGGCGGCAATATGAGAAAAAAAGGTCAAACGGGGGAAGTGACTGGGAGGGGAGACTGCTGCGGCAGCATCCGGGCAGCGAGGGGAGAGGGGGTGTGTTGGTGTTGCTCCCCCGGGGCCTGGCCTCGAGGCCGGGAGGATGGTCGCTCTTGGCGGCGAACCAAACACGCCCCCGCTCGCGCCCGGCGCCCCCCCCTCGCCCTGCCCCCTCCGTGAACCCCGGCCAGCCTCTCACCGCGGGAGGAACGTGCCGATCGCATGAGCGTTGGGACCTGGGCCCTGCCATGCGTCCAATCCCCCGGGACGGGGCGGCCACGTCCCCCCCCCCCCCCCCCAGGGATCTGGTCACCGGGCTCGTGGCCCGGGGGTTGCCCGCGCCCTCAGAAGGGGGGGGGGGGGGGATTGGCAGGAGAGTGGGAGGACCGGCCCGGCCGTTTGAAGAGCGCATGCGGAGAAGATCGCAGACGAAGGCTCGCGAGCACACGCGCCACCAGATCCTCTCCTCCTGTTGCCGCCACTCCCCTCTTTGCATACTCCCAATGGTGCGGCGTCCCTCTCCCACACCATCCTCTCTCCTCTCCCTGTCTTATTTTCTCTTTCCCCTCCTCTCTCTCTCTTCCTCTCATCATCTTCCCCTCCTCTCTCTTTCTCTCGGTTTCCTTCTCCCTGCTTTTGTGTCTTCCCCCCCCCCTCCCCTTCCTTCTGCCCTCTCAGCTCACCCCTCCCCCTTCCTCCCCTCCCCCTCCAGACCAAGCTCAAGTCCCTGCAATCGCGCATGGTCAAGTCCGTCAAGGACCTGCGCGGGAGCCAGGCGCACCCGAACTCCCGCGCTGCGGCCAAGTTCTCGCGCTCCAGCCAGCGTAACAACAAGCTCCAGACCAAGCGCAAGGACCGCGACAGTCGCGATGTCGAGAGTACGGAGCCCCCCCCCCACCCCCACCCCTCCCTCCTTCCCCTCCGCCACTGGCAAAAGAGGGGCGAAGTCGCCGAGCGACGGCCGTACATGGCCCGACCACCTGGACTGACTCACACATCCCTCCCGTCCTCCTTCCGTCTCCCTCCCTCGCCGCTCGCTCCCCGTAGCCCAGCGCTTCCTCTGGATCCAGGATAACCTGCCGGCCCATGCCGAGCACGACGGTATCACGCTTGAAGACATGGATGCCATGATCACCAGGTCCGAACAGATGCATGCGCACCCCTCCCCCCCCCCTCCTCCCCTGTGGCGTTTCCGTCATTCTGACTTGCTGCCCCTTTTCCCTCTGTCTTTCTCCCCTGCCCCCCTCCCCCCTTTCTGGTTTGACCTCCCCCGGACCAATGCCGCGCAGCTTCATCTCCCGGCATGTGGATGCCCTGGTCGGGGGCTCGGCCCGGCCCGTGGCTGCTGGGCCTGGCGCCGGCAAGCGTCGGACGGCCAGTGCGGCCGACTCGCGTGCCACCTTGGCCGCGGCCACGATCAAGGCCAATGAGGCCTCCTGCCGGGCCGGGCATTGGACCGTGCCGGATCTTTTCAACAAGCCGGCCGCCTGCCGCGCTTTTCTGTCCGTGCCCAAACTTCACATTGCCCGATGTCGCTCCTGCTCTTCTGTGGGCCCACCTGACACACGACTGACCGCATGACCCTGTAGCCTCTGGAATGGCGACCGTGGCACCCTGAAGCACGTTGCCAATCTGGTCACCTACTTCCCGGCCGATGTGCGCAAGGAGCGCGGCATCGAGTCTCTGGCCTCTTCAGAGCCCGAGCCGACCCCCGCCGACAAGCCGACGACTGGTGCCGCCGATGCCGAGCCAGCGGCCGACAACAGCATGTCCACCGACTGAGTAGCTCTCCTCGTGCCAGGGGTATGCGCGGGTGCAGCTGTGCTCTCGTACCGTCTCTCTTCCTCGGACAGGAGGGGCATCGGCATCGTTGCTCGTGCTCTTCCCCCGCTGTACTCACACTCGGCTGCTTCTCCTCCAGGGTGATGGCGCCACAAAACAATGAAATCTCCACGCGATGATACAAGGACACGGGTGTATTTTTGTTTTTTTGCCAGGCCAGGGGGGAGGAAGGGGACACCCTTTGACGTCTCTCGGGAGTTCATCTTCCTTTGGCGGCCTGTGTATCCTCCCCCTTCTCGAGGCTATGTGGGAATAAAGGGGGGGGGGGAACGAGCGCGCGGCAGGCCGTCAGCCGCCCTGAGGCGACCGAGGTCGAGGGCCACCGCCACCGGTGGATGGCGACGGAGCCGTGTCGGCTCGGAGCATGGGTGGCGTGCGGCGGGTCTTCGGCGACCCGGGGGCCGGGGCCGGCCCCGACGCCCTCGGCCGACCGAAAAGCCCGCGCACCAGCTGCCAGGTAACCAGTCCCTGGATCAGCTCATAAACCAGGCCAACAGCCAAGGCCAGCACAACCAATGGGGACCTGGGGATCGCATGTGCGTGCGTGCGTGCGTGCGGGTGAGAGACGCCAAAGGTAAGGACAGGGCGAGATGATAGGAGGGCGGGGCGAGGAAAGCAGCCGATGGAGGCCAGGTCCGAGAGACGCACCTCCGGAGGGGGAAAGGCGGCGCAAGGCCACCAACCCAGCCCAGCCACCGGGGGCTGTCGAAGGGCCCCGCCGAGGAGGGTGCACTGTTGGTCAGCAGCCCGACATCACAACGCCACAGACTCCACAGGACCATGTTATAGATGACATGTCGGCTGATGATCCAGGCGAGGACGTGTGCATAGCGGCTGTTTAGGTGGGCCCCATTGGTGGGGAGGGCGTATGGGGGGGGGGGGGGGGAGGGGGGTCAGAAAAGAGCAGCCCAAGAGAAAGAGGCAAAGAACAAAGGCGAGGCCTCGACAGGGGGCCGGGAAATCAGGCAGCAGGGGAAACGTACAAGACCAGGGCAAAGCGCGGGCGCTGGAGAACCGCGCAAATGACCCGCGCATGGCGCAGGGCAGCGGCCGAGTCGAATGCCAACAGCAGAACAAGCTCCGCACGGGTGAAGCTACAAGGGCTGTGAGAAAAGGACAGAGGCTAGCCCCGACATGGAAGCAGGCTCGTGGCGGGCAGGTCACATTTTTCACATTTTCCACAAACACACACACACACACACACGCGCATACACGTACCCAGAGAGGTAGGCAATCCAAAGGAGGACAACGACCGAGGCCTTCATCAGCAGTCGTGCTGGGGTGAGAGGCGGCGTCCCGCGAGCCATCTCCCGACCGGCGATGCGGCTAAGCAGTCGTGAGGTGGTCTCCTTCAGGTGGAAGGCAATCTGCGTGCCGGGGCGCCGAAGAGGGCGGGCAGGGTTGGCATCCAAGAGGGAGGAGCCGATCGCAGGCAGCGATCGAGCGCAGCAAGTGCACCCCATGTCAGCCAGAGGGGAAGCCAATGCGGATGTGTGAGTGTCGGCGAAGGGGCGACGGGGAGCGAAAGGGCCGCCAAGCCGGCCTGCTTACCTGCATCATGAAGAAGAGCTTCTGCACGCCAGTCAGGTTGCACTGGGGCCAGTCGCGCCAGAGGAGCTCCGTCGGCATGAGCAATGTCAGGGGCCGGAAGTTCCAGATGCTGATAATTGAGACACCGGCGTGGAAGAGGAAAAGCCGAGTGGCATCCTCCAGGATCCGGGCATTGATTTGCCGGCGGCCAGTCGGCCCACTAGACAGTGATGGTGTCATGGGACTGCCGGGAGCCGGGGAGAGATCCATCTGGTTGACACTGGCCAGGTCGGTCGGGTTGGCGGGATAGAATGCGTGGACGATCTTTGGGGAGGGGGGGGGGGGGCGGGGGGGGGATGGGGGGTCAGACATGCCAGCAGCTCGGGAGGGAAGGAGAGGTGTTTCAAGGGGCCGGTGGAGATGGAGGGAGGGAGGGGAGAGAGAGAGACAAGGAGGAGGGGCGGATGAGGGACGCACCGTCTTGAAGGCGTCGCGGAAGGCCGCATCGAAGGCCACCAGCACCGCGGCAAAAAAGAGGATGTTGGTAAAGTCGCGCCCAGCCACCGGGGAGTAGCGCGGCGTGAATTGCCCAAGAGGAGAGTCAAAGCCTATGTCGAGGGAGAGCGAGCGTGCGTGTGGATGTGTACATGTATGTCAGAGACAGAGCGAGGAGGAGCAGGCGGCAGAGAGTGAGGAGGGAAGCAGGAAGCGGAGGGGGCCAGAGGGAAGTGAAGGCCCCGGAGAAAGGGGACGAAACACGGGGAAGTGTGTGTGCATGGAAGCCTCTCGCAAAGGGGAGGAGGGATGGAAAGCAAGCGCGCCCGACGCACTCGATGGTGGATGGTAGCCCCCGAGCTCAACCCAGGGCGCGGCGAAGGGATACAGCGAGTCGAGATTGTAGCAGAACAACACCACGATGATGAAGATGACCGCCGCCACCGGAGCATAGTCATCCAGCCAGCAGCCCCAGCTGTCATCGGTCGGCAGGTGGATGTAGTGTAGCCTGGGCTGGTTGACTGACGGCTGGGGGAAGATGCTGCGCGGGGAGAAGGAGCTGACAATCGGAGCGCCATCCCCGGTGCCGGCAGGCCGACCGAGGCTGCCCGAGCCCGGGGTCGGGGCTGGCGGGTGCTGCGGGCGCGAGCGTAGCCCCGCCGCCGCCGCGGCCGGCACACGCTCGTGCGCCGAAGCCGAAATGACCGTCGACACAGTGGCCCCGGATTCCGATCCCTCCTCCGGGGAGTTCAGCGGCGGGCTCGGGGCGAGGCCGGAGCTGGCGAAGTAGTCCCCGGCATTGACGGGCAGGGCCTCGGAAGAGGGGGGAGGGGAGGTCATGACCGGTGGGAGGTCACGCAGATGCCTAGTCGGGGCGAGGACACGCGCATCCGGGGATGCAGGAGTCTGTGGGAAGGTGCCAGACAGGCGGGAGCCGAGGCGCGCAAAGCGTGGGGAGGAGGGGGAAGGAGAAAGAGAGAGAGAGAGAGAGGAAGAAGGGAGGAGCAAGGCAGGAGAGGGAGGGAGGCCAGCCCAGGCGAGGATGGGGAAGCCAGGAGGGGACAAGTGGGGGGGGGAGGGATCTAAATGGGCTCAGCAGCAAGGGGCGAGGGGCATGCACCAGTGTCCAAAGAGTCGCGGGGGCCAAGATTAATCGCCCCTCTAGGCTCATTTGGCCGGGGTGGTGCTGGTCAGGGGCGATCTCGCCTCGAGGCGAGCAGGGAGATAAACGCGGGATGTCCTCTCCTGGCACCGGGACCCACGGTCCGGGTCACCATCCCCCAGAATGCCCCCCTCCGCCCGCCCGCTCCCCCGCCCCCC